TTATGTTCATAACCCCACTACAACATGTGATAGGCTACAATGAGTTATATAAAGTTATAGTGAGTTAATTTTTTAGTGAAAAACATATCTGCTATCCAAAGATCTATCTTGTATTTTCAGGGTCGTGCCCTTTATTGCTTTATGCACATATTTTGTAGTAAAGTTGCTGTGACAGCTTTTTTTAATCGAAGTATTTTGTTTTTCATATTTTAATGTTGATTTGTTTTTTTCGTTTCTTTTTTTTTTTTTTTTTAATAAAATAACAATGACAAATGTTTGACTCTTTAATCACAGATGCCGAATAATAGAATAATATTTTCTTATTTAAATATTAAATAGGTCGCCTAAGAATTATATTTGCGCTTCTGAGTGATAGCCTACGTCATGTAAATTTTATTCTTTATTAGTAGTGACTTTTGTAATTGTGACGTAATTTGCTTTAGGATGTTCCGATTAATTGACAAGTCAGAAGCGCAGAGAAAATGATGGAGAGTGGTCAGTCACGGTAAGCGTTGTCGTGAAGGTTTTGCTCTCCGTCTGTTTGCTCCTCGTTCTCCCTCTTGGCTGAAAGGCCGTTTCCCTAGAGAGGGGGCAGGTGTTACTCCAGACGAGCCAAGACAACCAAATTACTGGCCGTCTGGCACCTCCCGTGGGAAACAGAGAGAGAGAGAGAGAGTGAGTGAGAGAGAGAGAGAAACAGAGAGATAAAGACAGATTTATTCTTACATACCATTTATACATATATAATCATATTATATATTTAGGCTACATATACATAACGCTTCAATATACCATATATATTATAAGTAAAAACATGCAAGGGTTAACTTTGTTCAGTCTACCCTTGTCGATGATCACTCGCGTCTTTAATAAAATTTTGAAAAGCACAATTGTTTGTGTGTTATTAGTTTAGCCAGACTGATACTGACTTCAATGAAGATCAAAGAGTTCACAAACTTCTTCTTGCCACTGTATAGCCTATATAAAACTAACTGAATTCTCACATCCAAAAGAATCAGCAAGCTAATAGTTGCCTACATTTCTCAAGCATACCACTATGCATGTGTGATTATCACTCATTCAAAACCTCAGTTGTTTCAGACCAGTGTTTTTACCCTTGTAAGTCCAAAGTGTTTTTAGAAGAACCACTTTTCTTGATCAAATATTTTTTATTTAATATCATCAGAATTTCTCTTCACTTGCTGGCAATAAAAGAACATTTTACACTTACACAACAGCACTCAAATTTAAACACTGGCTCAGTGATTGAATGATAATGGATAATGCAACTTTGTAATGTCTTGAGACCACCAGAAAGGATTTGAAAGAGCTTCTATTTTAATCCGTGACTTAACATGCATTTTCCAGACGATAATTAACTTTGTGTCTATTATAGGCTGATGTCCCTAAAAGGATTTGACAGTACAAGTTGTAGTGCCATTTAACATAAATACTGTGTCCTATAGCCAACAAAACACCAGTTTCATCATCAAAATCATGTAAAGAGCAGCATATTTCTTGACTCCGGAGGGAGAGTGATCTTAGAGTGATCGCAGTGACCTTATAGCCATGAAGCACCAAATCAAGTATGTGAGTATGATTTTTAGTTCAAAAATTAAGAGTTTAAACAGGAATTATAATATTTTCTACAGTTTGGTTTGGCATGGTTTTCTCTTTACCAGAAATTTCTATAATTTGTTAGATTAGTTATTGAATTTAATGTGTTTAAAAATGTTTTATCCTCTGACAGTTTACTTACCTGGAAACCTGTTAATTTGTCATGTACCCTAAAGTTGATTTCAGAAGCAAAGAATAAAATCATCATACTTTCCAATGCTAGAAAGATCAGACACTATAATGATTCACTTTCTGTCCAAATTGTTGTTAATTAATTTATTATTATTCAGTGGGGTTCTGGTGTTTTTAATGTGACTGAAATTAAAATGAATGAAATGCAAACACTCTAAATTTAAACCAAATACATCACATGGACAAATGCATCACCAACTGATAATAGTTTTTACGTTATTGAGGAGTATTTATGGTATAAGGTGGTATATGTCCATTCACTTTATTTTTGTCCATGCTGCAGCCTCCAAAACAAACCCTAATTTAAAGCTGTCAGCTGTAGTCCTGTTTTGAGTGGGTAACAGACTGTGAATGCAGCCAGCACATGTGTGTTTGTGTATGAGAAAAAGCCATATTGCCTCTCTGTTCACCATGGATTATGTAATGGCAAAGACCTACAAGTGACCATATGTCAGGAAGTGTACAGACGGCCAAAAATCCTATTCACTATAGTCCTGTTTGTGGGTTCTCTCACCATCATCATTCAGGTACACTTTTCTAGAATCAAACAATATAGGCAGGAACACATTCCCATTTGTTCCTAATAAGGCTTCTTGTTTTTCCAACTAGAGAAACACACAAAAAAAGCAGCCATATGTCCACAGGTCTTTAAACAGCATTTAAAAGGCAGAAGGTAGTGTTTGCATCTTTCCTCTCCTTCCATTACAAGTGTGCTCAACTTCAATGCCTAGAGCCCATCTCCCTTTGCACCTTCAACCTACCCCTTTCACTCATTCCCTTGATATCCATCAAAGGTGTGTGTTGTAGAGTGAGCGTTGCACTAGCAGTGAGGTACAAAGGCAGATCCATGTGTTGAAATGTGGCCCCTGGGATGGGCCACATTATGCTTGCCCACTTCACCAGCAGGGACCCAGGCTGGAGCTGGCTCATGGCCCTTTGTCTCCAAACAGATGGAAAAACACTAGAGTAGAGAGAGTGGGAGAGAAGGAGAGAAAAGAAGAAAGGGGATACAGAAAAAAGAAGTCAGTCTGTTCTCATTACCTCACATATTGAGAGCGACACGCTTACAATACGTCAGTGTCGGATAGGCTCTGTCTTATTCAAGCTCATGCTCAGGCCATCTGTACACACAGCACACATGCATTTACACATGCACAGCAGTCAACTTCATATATTTAAGTACCATTATTGCTATATCATTAAATTAAGTGACAATTTTAAAGGTATACTTGCTGTGTCGGCTATGTCTGTTAGTACTGTTTGTAGTTTTCTTTTTTTTTTGTAGAGGTTTATTGTAGTTTATTTTTCAACAAGATATTGAATGAATTGATTTTAAGTCCTCTTACACATTTTCGCTAAACAGTACAAAACTTGTAAACACAGGTCATCCCATCCCTCAGACTCCAAACGGAATGATCTCAGGGGCTCAAACACGCGTTCTGAATAGCGACCATCTGCACAATGACTTCTTAAAGCACATATGTTTTAGACCCCCTTCACATCCTTTCAGAAACCCAAAAAGGTGTTGTTTACATTCAAAGGTTATTCAAGCGTTGTTCTTGCACTATATTGCCATATTTGTCACTTCAAGGATCTAAGAACAAATTATTAAGACATAGATCTTTCTGAAATTGCATCGCCCTCTGTCGGTCACTTTCAGTTGTTGCATATTCAAGCACTATGCTCTGAAAATAGACGTGCACTACTTGCATTTGTCCACAAGATTGCGATATTTGCTTATGAAAGTGAGAGACATTTCTTCACATATGTGATACGTGTGTATTACCAATAATTCTTATATGCTTACTAACAGATACATTGATGCTAGCACACTGTTTTCAGAAAAAAGTTACACTACATAAAACTGAATCACAAAATTGCAAATTAACCTGAATGGCTGAAACTGCTGTAACTCTGCTTCAATTCAGTTATCATTTATATTTATAACTGTCTGCAGCCTCAGGAACTTTGCCAGAGACTTGGCATGAATAATGTAATAGCTGTAATGCAACTGGTCTCGCCATGTTTGTGTAGTCCTAGGGAGTCGGAAAAAGGTCTAAGTCAGAGGTCTTGAACTCAGCATGACCCCAGGTCATCCTTAATCTTTAGTGTTATGCATGAAATGAATAAAAAATGACACTGAGCAAAAAACATCTGAATGCTAGCGTCAGCTGACTAACATTATGATACCTCTGAAGTGTTACCATTAAAGCCATTATTTGTCATCATTTGTTGATGTATGCCCACAGTGAAATTAAGTCGTCACCCTTATTTCTATAGTGCTTTGTGCCATACTGATTGTGTCAAAGCAGCTTCAAAGAAATAAACGAGAAATAGCAGAAGCAATTATAAAAGCTCTTCTATACTACGGAGACAGTTCTGCTGTAAAACAGCTCTAAAAGACAATAGTGTCATTCTTATCTTAGGTTAGTTCAGATCAATAGCAGTGTGAATCTATCAGCAATAGGCAGTTCTACAGTGAGCAGCAAATGTTGTTGTTCAGTTCGAGTCGGAATTCAGTGTTGATTGAATGCAGTTCTAGTGTTGATGTTGCGAGATGTGATTTAGCATAAAGCAGCTCTACAAAAACAACAGTGCCATCATCCAGCTTAATTCAGTTCAAGTTCCCATCCAATAGTTTTAATCAATGCTGTCATATCGATATTTTACCAAAAATTTTTTTTTTATTAATTAATGTATTTATTTTGCTTTTATTAGTTTCGTCTACTCCCTGACTTTAATTTATTTTACATATCCTTACTTTTGCAAACGTTTGTTTGAATAGAATCGTGTACTGTTGTATTGTATATTGTGTAGTAGCTACATTGTTTTTGCTAGTTACATAATGAATTCTATTCTATTCTATTCTATTCTATTCTAGAATTCCTAGCCTACCTAAAGTAGGCGTTATAGTCGGCCACTGTTGTTCCCCTAGCGCGTCATGTTCGTACTGCACTTTCGCCTCACTTCTAAAGGAAGCACTGCCCCTCAGCAAATCCCAATGTATCGAGCTGATTCTACCACAGGAAATTCGGTCACTTTAAGTCTCGGACATACCCAGGGATTATATATAAAATAAATGAGTGGTTCCGTGCTTTCCATCAGAATTCAACGATTCGGTAAAGGTGAGTTTGTTATATCGACGGACTGCGATAAAGCATTCTGCCGCTGTGAGTTTAGCTTGCTATAGAACTGCTGTGACACTTGTGAATTCTCAACCTTGCATTGTTTCAATATCTTCTCTTCAACTGACTATCAAATATTGTCCGTAGGCTACTGTTTTATTTATGTAGTCTTACCCTGTGGGTATACACAGAATTCATTTTGACAATTGTCTAATTCTGTTGGCCACCAGCTAGACAGCAGAACACGACTAAATGCCCATCCATACATGTAGGTACAGTGGTTTTTTTACTGGACTGAAAATGACACTTTATTTGCAGCGAGTTCCCACAGTAACAGTGGAAAACGCCTTGGAAAGTGTGTTTGAAACAGCTTTGGAGAAGCATGCTCAGTGCTTTAGGACTAGTGTTGTTACGGAAACACGTGTCGGGCTGGATACATGGGCACATTGGGAAAAACTGCGTTGTATCATTAATAGGGGAGGGGGAGCATATAGGTGTCGCAGACACGCTTCTTACGTGACAAGCTGCATATCGCTGCTTCTCTTCCAAACTTAATTCTCTCCTGCTCGGGAAGAGTTTTATTGTTTACAGCGGTCTTGCCCCTGTCTGGGTCGGTTAGTCGTGTGGTATAGGCTAACTAATGTAATTTATGGTTAATGGAGTAAGGCAAGACGCTTCAGGCCTTGAACAGACCGGGGTTTTTCCTACAGCGTCCGCCATTTATTTGAGGTGCGGGATGCTACAGGTACAATTGGGAGTTGGCAAACAGAGTTACGGGTTTTTAGCCATTAAATAAAACAAAGGCTTCACTTGACCACTGTAAACAGTACTTCAGTAAAAAGCCAATGTTGAAACTGAGCTGACAGTTTCGGGGAAAATGTGGTCAATTTATGGTTGTAAATCCTCAATGTAAACAACATCATAACACTTTCTCATGATAAGAATCCATCTAAAGTAATTTCAATTTGAACAAACTAGTATATTTTTTAATATCTGTCTTTTGTCATTTTTGAAACTGTCTTTTATGCTTCACTGATCATCATGGACTTGACGCTTATATTGTTTATCTGCAGAATAATCTGTCATCTTTGTTGGCTCTGACTATCCAAAACATTCCAGAAGTTATTTCCTGAAGCTCAATTCTTTGTAGCTTGTCATTAGGGCTGCACGATTAATCGTATGCGATATTTAACGCGCATCTTGTCAGAAAGCCGGTTCTGTAATCAGCGTAAATCTCCATCACCTGCGGGTTTTCACATTGAGCAGCATTAACTACACAGAGCCGTTGTTCACTGATGAGCAGCGCAAAAAATCGCGCGAATATGAACGTGGTTTAGCGGAGCTCGTCAGTGAACAACGACTCTGTGAAGTTAATGCTGCTCAATGTGAAAGCACGCAGGTGATGGAGATTTACCGCTGATTACAGAACCGGCTTTACTGATAAGATGCGCGTTAAATATCGCATGCGATTAATCGTGTAGCCCTACTTGTCATACAGAAATTTGCGGTGTGATGATGTATTTTTTTTGTTATGAAACATGCACAGCCTGCCACCAAAGAGAAAACCATTTAGCAACTTGGAGATTCCCACCATCCTATGAATTATTCAACACTGTCATTTATACAGATTATATCTGTGCTTGAACCTCTGATGGCTGGAAATTTCTGTACAGTTTAGACAGGATTACACAGGACCGTGAAAGTGTCTGCTACATACCTGTCATGCAGCTACAATTTCAAAGCCATTTAAGAATTGCTACACCCTTTTTTGAAAGACAGCAATGAAATGGCTGTTTAAAGGGGTCATATGATGCGATTTCAATTTTTCCTTTCTCTTTGGAGTGTTACAAGCAGGCCTCTCTCTCATAGTTGTTGAATGTAAGTTGTGGTTAATGTCACACAGTGCAGTGTTATTCAGCCTCAATCCAAAAAAAAAAAAAGACAATGGTTTAACTATTTAATCAATACCAATAGATGTTATTTTTTTTAACTATCGGTTATCTAAAAATATCAAGACTGAGAGATGTCAACAGTTTTTTTTTCTTTTCCTCTGTGGCCAGCGCTAGAGTGTGTTACAGTATAACAGTGAAGGGAACGTTGACATAATGCAGAATTTCACTTCATTGCTTTTCAGCTGTTTTTCTAAGCTCAACATAAAAAAAAAAACAGTGCAGTGCCTCTCTCATTTTTAAATGCAAAAATTTATTCAGTGTGACTGACCTCTAACAGGAGAAAACAAAGCATTAGCATACTAAGTGAACAGCCTGTTTCCCATTTTATATTTTTCCCCCATTTTAAAGTCTTACAGACTGTTCAATAATTCTGTCTACTCCCCATAATTATCAGTATTGCCAAAATTCAGCCTTCCTGTAGCTCAAAAGGTACAGCATGGCACTAGCAATGCCATGGTCATGGGTTTGATTCTTGAGGCATAAATGCATTAATAGAAAATCTCTAGTATTCACAGTAGTTTGCAGAAGAGAAAAGTGGGGATGTAGTTGACATGTCTGATGTTTGTTATGTTAAAGCAACTTTTTGTGTTTCAACTGAGGGGGAAGCACACAGTAAGAATGTTGCTATTATCATTGTCATGTGACTGATCAGCATCAGTTGCATCTCTTCATTGCCATTCACAAATCTTCTCCTTTGGCCTTATGGGATAGTAAAGTGTCCAACAGTTGCACACTTCAGAATTTTGGTCATCAGGGAACGTTTTGCCCTTTTTGTTTTTTCTTTTTTTTTTATACTTTTTAAAAAAAATACTTATTAATATAATTAATAATAATAAGTTGTGCATTTAGCAGACACTTTTATCCAAAGTGACTTGCAATGCATTCAGACTATACATTTTTTACCAGTATGTGTGTTCCCTAGGAATTGAACCCACAACCTTTTGCGCTGCTAACGCAATGCTCTACCACTGAGCCACAGGAACACATATATAGATACATTAATATATATACATATATATTCACCTGCTATATAGTAGGGATGTATGCATTTTCGATAATTTTTAACTTAAATTCATGAGGCTTCTGGTGTTATTTGCTTCGAGTTATTTAAAGTGACAGCAATCTAGTACTTGCTGCTGTCTTTGTCAATCAAAAGTAAATAAAAATCACACAGCTTTTGACTGAATAACATTAGTATCCATTTAATAAGATCAGTATATATTTAGCTAATTTATAGTGAAAACTGTTTTTTTTTTTTTACTTTTAATTTTGAATATACAATTTATGTATTATTTATTACCTGAGTGCTACTGTTACCTGTTGTAACCTACCTACTGAGACCTACCATACCTGAAAAACTTAAAGCACAGTTTTTTTATTGTATTTATCGTAATGTTCATTGTTTGCATCTTTGTTTTTGTGTTTTTAATAGCAAAGATAAAATAAAATTACAAAAATAGCTATAGGAATTATTAGGAAATAAGATTTTGGTCATATTGCCCACTGCTGGTCATCATGTACTGTAATTCTGTGTGATAAAGCTGCAGTCCTAGTATCCTGCTCTGTAAAAGGATGAGTAAGATTAAGTTTTACTTTAAAAATTTGTTGCAAAACAGTTTTATTGCAGTATTCATACGGGATATTTTTTCTCTCTGTCTCTGTGGGTGTCTCATAGAAACTTTTGATTTAGATATGTTGTAAGTACTGTTTGATAGGGAGCCAGTGCTCTTTTGTGTGCTGATAAGTTGTCTCTGTTCTTCTCTCTCCGCTTTATTCTCACCCTTTCTGTGGTCTTGATTTCTCACATCCGCCAATCCAGCACCACAATGCCGGCATACAAACAGGATTTGACCCCTGATCGCTGAAAATGTCTCTTCCTGCAGACCATACCTTATAGGTCTGTTAATAAAAAAGCTTTTCTGTTACTGTTCATAGATAGCCACAGAGAATAATTTTATAGCCTAGCCTATGGTATTCTTTTAGAGCTCAGATGAATGAATGAACAATCGAGATTAGGGGTGCTCCGATTGATCGGCTACTAGGGATGTAACGATTAACCGCGAGCCGGTTGAAAATCGATTCAAATATGTGACGATTCAAATCGG